GAGTCTTCATGTGAATGTGCTGAGTTGCCCTACAGTTCTATAGTTAAGGAACTATGTTTCTAAGCTAGTTACTGATATAAATGACATGTCCAACTTCTATATAAAGGTAAGAAAATACTATCAGATATATCCAACCTCTTGACAATACACCACAGCATTGTCATCTACTAAGTTCATGCTTGAGAATTATGACATTGATTATAAAGTTTTAATATCAAAATTTTGTGAGTTTACAATTTCATGTTGGACTGCATGGTTATCCTTAGTCACGTGTACACACTTGGTTGCAGGATGGACTTGCCTGTGACTAAGCTGGTGTTTGTATCTGATCCAAAATAATACTGAATATTATGGGAGAGGAGATATCAGAGTATTGTGTCCCACTACGAATAGCAGACACAGTCTGGTGCAAATGGGCCAATACTCTGCTTTAGTCAAAACTCTAGATTTCTAGATTCACCTTCCAATAGGATTTCCATAGAGATCAGCAGTCAAAATGGTATAAGCAATTGAATGAGAGATTTCTGTGACTCATCTCTTATCAGAAAATCTAGGTGGAGGGCTGAATAATTGTCTGAAAGCCATATCATCCAAAAGCCCAACTGGTTTCCAGGTAGGAGCCCAATCTTTCATCACACTCTGCCTCCTGGAGAGCTTTTCAGACTTATTGATGACAGAACAATTGTGTCCAGATTCTGAGACAAAACCAGAAAATCTAATGATTCCAAGATTCAGCCAGAGTTGATTGTAGGGCCCACAGTCTCCTTGCCTGCATTGAGCAGGAGCTTATTAGTACTGCAGCATTGGCCCCCCACTTCAGACATACTAAACCAGACCCTGTGTTTTAACAAAGGCCCCAGTTAATGCACATACACTTTAAAGTTTGAAGGATCCTCTAACTTAGATAGAACCACAGAATGTCATGTTCATGCTTCCCTATGTTTCACCTGTGGGGTTGGGGGAGTGTCTCTGTGACCACCGTGGCCAGCATAATGACACTGTGTGAGGCAAGAAAAAAAATCTGGTTCAACGCAACTCAGTAGCCAGTGTTGGTTTAAACTTCTAGAGTCTGAATGGGCAGTTTATTTTAGGGATATTTAAGTATAGTACAATTTGGAAAAAATTTTTCCTGTTGTAACACAATCCTATGTATACATAATTACGTTGAAATTCTTTTCAAAGTACATGTGCTGTCTTCCACAAAGATGGGTTCTGTGGATAGGCTACATATGTTGTCTTAAGGGCCTGGGGGAGGATCTGGTATGGTATTGGTCATATAGATAGCACAAAGGTCATTAGTCTATTAATCAATTCCAGTCCTATTTATAAAGTCTTGGGGAGGGATCAAGGGTGACCTGGCTCTATAGAAAGCACAGAGGACACTGAAACTGTTAATCACCTCCATTCCCAGCCTTCTGGGAAGAAAACAGGCAGGTTATATATCTCTTCCTTTGAAGAGACAATCCTGGATGTGTTAAATTCCTGGTTTTCATAGTGCTTACTTGTGGACACACGAAGTATGATAGATCCAACAATCACCAACCCCTTGTGTGTCCTTAGGGGCCCACAGAACTTTGATAGTTTAATTGAATGAATATTTATATCAGCAGGAATTGGTGTATTATAGGATAAGTATTAAGGGTCTGGATTTGAATTTCAGGTCTTAGCCATGGGGAGAATTCTCAATTTCAGTTTCTTTACCTATAAAAGCACAATAAAAACTCTGCCTCCATGTTTTTTTTGCAGTCTCATGATGAAAATTTGTTGACTCACATATGCTAAAGGTTTTTATTTATTTATTTTTATAATAAAATATAATACAAATAAAACACAAAACAAAACCAAAATACGTTGGAATTGGACAAGACAAACTAGCAGAAGGAAAAGAGCCCTAGGATGAGAAACTTACTTATTCAAGCACTCAGAGAACCACAGCCAGATGTCACGCAGAGAGCGAGAAACCTGGAACATTAGACACCCCAACTGGGATGTCCGTATCAAATCCTTTCTCTCTGGCTTCAAGGAATGGCAAAGAGGAGGTAAAAGACTGCAAAAGCCAGAGGGGATGAAGGACACCAAGAACACAGGACCTTCTAAATCAACATGATCAAGCTCATATGAACTCACACAGACTGAGTCAGCCTATACTGACCCCTATGGATGGGTCTGCACCAGGTCCTCTGCATATATTTTATGGCTTCCAGTTTAGTGTTTTTATGGGATTCTTGAGGCAATGATCTATGAATAGTATTCATTTTTTTAACTATAGAAATGGTGGTACAAAGTTTACCATCACTGGCCTAGTGTATCTTGTAAGCAGGACACTATTTTATATCAGAAGATTTGTAGCTGGCTTGGTATCTTTATTTCTTTCTTGATAGCATGCAGAGTACCTTCCTGCCCCAGCCCTCGGGGTGGTGAATGGGGACTGGGGGACCACCTGAAAGAGAGAATGGGGGGACAAGGGACGTGAAGAATGGACAACAAGTCAAGAGATCTGATCAAGCTGTCAAATTTTAATTGTTCCCACACAGGTTATACACACATAGAAGCAGGATATGGGGTGGGGGGGTGATATAGGGTCACTTTGTCTCTAATGAGCGCAGGTGTTCTCAAGAACAGGATGTTGGCTGGGTGGAAAGTTCAGCAGAAAGTACAGAACAGAATGGGTTGCTAGGTTCCTATCCACAAGATCTATAGCTACTTGTTCTCAACTGGGCTACCTGTCCATAAGATCTATAGGGATTTGTTCTCAACTGGGCTAGTACTTTCCCACAGAGGCCAAGACTTTGTGACAGTAAGCACGTATGGCTGACTAGGCAGTTAATGTTTAAACAAGGTTGTTCCCAACACCTTCCTGTATCAAAACCCCCAGAACATAAGGGCTCTATGTAGGCACCAGTTGAACTTTTCTGTGTCCAATGAGTTGTGTAGGTGTTATCTTTAGCAGTGGGGCCTTGCTGTCATTTTGTGAAGAACAACCTATAGTACTGCCAACAACCTGGATTGAGGTTTCCCATGTGACTCCTTTGGCCAACAACTCAATATGGTTATATGTAACCCAATACCAGTACTGGTAACTTAATTTGGTGACAAGACATGGGCACCTGGGACTCTGTTTCTCCTATTATTTGGCAATTTCTTTAGATCATTTTCACATGTGTATATGCTTCAGAAAGCTTCTACTGTATTGGATTCCATAGATTTACCCTCAAATGGCCCTAATTTTAGCTGTCATTCATGTACTCCCTCTCCTATTTCCACATATAACCAAATATGTATCATATTTTTCATATTTGATTTTTTTAGGTCTGAGTTACCTCACTGTAGTTATCCATTTATCTGTAATTTTCATTATTTCATTTTTTAAATGTCTGAGTAGTGCTCCATTGTGTGAATGTACCTCATTTTCTTTCTCCATTCATCTGTTGAGGAACATCTAGGTTGTTTCTAGTTTCTGGCTATTAGGAATAGAGCAGCAACAAACATGGTTGGGCAAATGTTTCTGGGATAGGATGAAGCATCTTTTGGGTATATGGCCCAAAATGGGATATAGCTGGATCTTGGGTAGATTACTTCCCATCTTCCTTAGGAATCATCATACTGATGTCCATACTGGCTGTTCAAGTTTGCAGTTCTACCAGTAGTGGATGGCACCTCCTTATTCTATATTCTCTACAGCATGAGCTGTCACTTGTGTTACTGATTTTAGATATTCTAACAGGTGTAAGATGAAATTTCAAAATAGTTTAAATTTCTATTTCCCTGATGGCTAAGGATGCTGAACATTTCTTTAAGTGTTTTTCAGTCATTTGAGTTTCCTTTTTGAAAATTCTGTTTAGATCTGTACTCCATTTGTTAATTGGGTTATTTGTTTCCTTGATATCTAGTTTTTTTTTGAGCTCTGAATATATTTTGGATATTAGTCCTCTTTTGGACACATAGGTTGCTGCTTTGTCTGAACGACAATGTCCTTCTGCCATACAGAAGCTTTCCAGTTTCATGAGGTCCCACTTAGTCTATTCAGAAAGTCTCTTCCTGTGCGAATGAATTCAAGGCTATTCTTCAGTTTTCTCTTCTATCATGTTCAGTGTATCTGGTTTTATGCTGAAGTCTTTGATCTATTTGGAGTTGAGTTTTGTGCAGGAAATTAAGTATGGATCTGTTCTATACTCATCCTGTTTGACCAGCACCATTTTTTTAAAGATGATGATATCTTTTCCCAATGTGTATTTCTGGCATTTTTATAAAAAAAATCAAGATTCTATAGGTGTGTGGATTTATATCTCTGTGTTCAATTAGATTCCATTGATCAATGTTTCTGGTTTTGTGCCAGTACTATGCTCTCCTTCCCATTCCACACTAGAACTTGAAATTAGGGATAGTGATTCCTCCAGTAATTCTATTTTTCAGGGTTGCTAAAAAATTTTTAAAATCGCAGCAATTTAACCTGTACTATATTTAGCTTCAAAGAAGTGAGATCTTGGACACCCACAACACTGGTCAGATTATGAGTCTGATCTTTTCCAGGTCACGAGTAGTTGAGTATTTTAGAGACTTGTTACCCACCCAGCCTGACCACTAATCTAGCGGCAGCGGCAGCAGCAACAACATGGTGAATCTGTTAAAAAAAAAAAGGATTTCAGGACTGTCAAGGCCAACTGACTCAGAATCTGTGTTTGAAAAGCCCTCCACATCATTTCTGGAAAATGAACTCACATGAGAAATACAAAATAATAAATGTCCGCAAATAACTGTTTATTTAAAAGAAAACCCATAACCACCTTTTAAAGTAAAACTAAACTAGAATTACACTATGATTCGGAGGGAATCTACCCTTTTGACATTAAGGCGACATTTTAAAGTGGAGACAGGGCTGTTTCCTGCAGGTATTAGAGATGTGAGACTAGCCTTCTGAGGGTTGAACGCTTCCATAATTCAGTTTCTCCTATGTATGTTGCTCCTGCCTCCCTTTACCTCCCCAACTCTCGACTCAGACAATGTCATCTCCAGATAGCTGCTCAGATGTGGAAATTTATCCCAAGTGCTACAGAGAACTGGTTGAATCCCACACAGAGCCAGAAGGTAAGAAACTTCTTTAAACCCATCCCTGTCCTCAAATCATGGTCTCCAAACACAGGGAATCATACTTAACTCTGCTCATGAAAGCCAAACTTTCTTGGACCAACCTGTGAAACATCTGAGCTGCAGGAATTCCTCCAAGATATGAGGTAGACAAGGACAAGTGATGGAGACAGACATACAACAGTTCAGGACCCAGATGTATTGTCAGCAATCATAGGATGATGATGATGATGATGATGATGATGATGATGATGACATTGTATTTAATTGGCCATCAGGGCATCAGGCAGTATGGTGCATATGTAGAGGTCAGAGGACAACTTTTGGGAATAGTTCTCCTCTTCCATTAAACCCTGGGATCAAATTCAGGTCACCAGACTTAGCAGCAAGTGCCTTTACCCACTGAGATATCTTGTTGACCCTGTAGACCAAATTTAGATACACATATTTAAATGAAACTTTTTAAAGCATTGCTTTTCCAGTGGACTGTTTGGCAGCCAACAAACTGTCTTTAAAACAAACAAACAAACAAACAAACAACACATCATCAAAGCATATTTCAGACAAGAGGGATCTGGCTAGGTCAGGAAATTATAAATTTTCTTGTAATTAAAAAAGTATTTTTTAAATCTTTAGTTTTTTATTTTTTATGTGCAGGGGTGTTTTGGCTGCATATACATTGCATATACATGTACCATGTGTGTGTGGTGCCTGCTAAGGCCAAAAAGGGAATTTGATGCCCCTACTATTACAATCTCTACATGGCTCCTGGGGATTGAACTCAGGTCCAATGGAAGAAAAAACAGTACTCTTTCTACTCCCCAATTTTTATGATTCTTATCAAAGTATTTTAAGAGAATGTATGTGAGAATTCTTGCTATAAGATGCTCTTCCTTCACATTGTTGAAACTGAACTTTTTAAAATTAATGGATATAAAATCTTTTAAAAAGCATTTGCATACCTTCTGTATATGTGCTTATTAATCATGATTTGGAAACTGTAGACATTAGGAATGAAATAATTCCATAGTCCAATTAACTACAAGTTTGCCAGCTAATGGAACTGATTTACTGATTTGCTAATTTGTTTTCTTTGATTCAACAGCAAAATGCACTCTGCTGTCAGACCCCAGCTGTGTTTCTGTGGCTCGCAGCCACTCAGGTGATCTTCAGAGGGCTCCTGGGTCCCAGGGAGAGGTAGTGGGTTGTTCAGCCTTCTTAACAAAGTAAGCACCTCTGTTCTGATGACATCTAAGGAATGAATGGTGGGGCACCTTTCCTTTGCAACCCAAAATCTTAACTTTTCAGAAAGAATGAACCCTGGAAGTTAGTACAGGACTCTGTGCCCTAGTGAGAGGACAGATTTCAGTAAGTGTTTATTGAAGAACAGAACAGAGTGCAAGCTGAGCATAAATCACAGGGTAGGCAGGGTACAGGTAGAAAACAGGAAGGAGATATAAACTGGGGGTATCAGCTGAAGGCATCATGTTTATGAGGCAAGGGATAAGCCCACGTGTGCATGTTTGTATATATATATGATACATAATTATATTTGCATATAGTTGTGCATATAATATATTTGCATATATTGTGCAATTGCTGAGCTATTACGATATCATCTGCTATTCTAAATCTACTTAGCCCTATATTTGCCTCTTACTCATCCCCTCATGTGAAATCTGACCTCAGTCACTCACAGACAAGTTATCTGGTCTAATAGAGATGTTAGCAAACTTCCAGTCCACAGTAAGGCCATATTCAGATGAATCCCCAGTCACAGCCACAGCTGGACCCTCCCACACCCAGAAAGCCTTAAGTGCAGGTATTTCCCTCTGGCAACCTCCCTTCTCTGCTTCTTTTCCGACATTGGGTTGCTGGTCCTGGCTGCCTCCTCTTATGCCTACCCTTTTTCCCTGTCCTATTGACCTCAACCAGTACAGTGGGCACCTAACATGACAGAGACCCATGGCATGACAGCATTGCTGAAGGCATAGGTCCACAGGGACAGGATTCAGACAAGCAAATTGTCAATACCACATTATTCCAAATAACGATGAGCCTTTCAAGATCCTTTATTCCTTATATCAACCTATGAAAGATAGTTACCTTGTATAATGCCCATTTTATTGGTCTGAAAAGTGATATTTGGAGAAATGTAGTAACTTTTTTATCTTGTGAATGATTGAAGAGGCAATTATTCCTGAGTCAGCATGGTCTCAGTGCTCTAAAGTATCCAGAGTTCCTGTACCAGTGAGCTAGGGTAAAACAAACAAAAACAAACAAACAAGTAAACAATCAATCAAACAAACAAAAAAACCAAGAGGACTACATATTGTCTGAGCCTGCAGCATTAAGCAAATTTGTTGCTGAACTCAGACTGGTTTATTATTTTTAACCTCTGTTATTGTTTTCCAGGTCCAAGAATTAACCCCGTTGCCCCAAATAAACATTTTATTCGTGACACAAACCAGCAGGTTCTAGTCCTGGAAGGCAGCACTCTTGTGGCAGTTCCAGACAAGCTCGGCAAACGTGGAGGTAACCCTCAAATTTTCCTTACCCAATGGAGGCGGTATGGTGCCCCCTCTCCCCCACTGGGCCTGGGCCTTAGAGAAGGGGCTGCTTGACTACTCCTCCTAAAAGGAGTTTGGAACCAGTGATAAGCATCAATGCGTGAGACAAGAGAGGGAACCAGAGGTGTCCGCAGCCAAAAGAAGTCTCTGTAGATAGGGAAGTGATCCAAACCGGAGATGGAGAGAGAGCAAATTCTGAGAATCAGTGTGAGTGTGGAGATTTATCAAGCTTTCTGTGTCTGAAACTTCAACAGAAAAAAGAAGAAAGAAAAGAAAAAAAGGGGGAGAGAAGTTTTTGATTCTAGATCTGGTCGTGTTTTCTATTTCCAGAGACCTTTTATGTGTCAACTTTACCCGAAAGAAAAGCCAGTGGCTCAAAGGCAAATCGTATTGTTTTGGCTGTATCTAAAAGAAAACTCTATCTCTGCTGTGAAAGAGTCAAAAGGCCAAAGTGTCCCTCGTTAGAATTAAAGGTAAGAGCCACGGAGATCTCCCCTGTCCTCCAGCTTAGGGAAGGAGAAATCCTCAGTGCTAACTAAGACTGATAGCCTAAGACCGCCTCAATCTTTGCATATCCCTCCCTTCCCCCTACAAAGAAGCCCCATCACTTGTTAGCATTCTCAGTTAAAGTAACAAATACCCAAGGCAATCACATTCTAAAGAGAACAAGATTTTGGTTCACAGTCTTGGCCAATTAACCCTAATGCTTTGGGGCCTGTGGTAGTCTACTACAGTGGAAGCACATGGGGGTAAGGGGGTGTGCAGACTGCTCACTTAGTGTCTAGGATGCAAAAGAGGAAGACTGGGATGAGGTCCCACAATTCCCTTTGAGGGCGCACTGGCCAACAATTAAGCCTCAGTTTTTAATATTTCCATCACCTCCCAATAGCCTTAAGGCTTTGACATACAGGCCTTTGGGGAACATTTCTAGATACAACTGTAGTAGCTACTAATGAATTCCCTTTTGTATTTCAAAAAGAAAATTAAAGAACTGAGTTCACTGAGCCATAAGAAGCTCCTGCCCTTCACCTTCCTGAAGGAAAAGGCTGGCTCCTACTTCACACTGGAATCAGCTGCTAATCCTGGGTACTTTGTCTGCACCTGCAGTGCACCCAGGCAACCTGTTGGAGTGACAAAGGAGTTGGGGAAACAGAAAAATACCCAGTTTGAATTTGTAAATGCAACTATGGATCAGTGAGGTGGAAGACTGAAACACAGGACAGTGGCCAGACCAGCTGTAACAGCAATATCTGGTTTCAGCCTGGCACCAATCAAAAATAAATAAATAAAAATAAAAAAGGATATATTCTCTTTATAAATGTTACCTGCAGTCAGCAAGCTTGATGAATTGATTTGTGTGTGTGTGTGTGTGTGTATGATTAATTTCTTTAAAGTGTATATAGTTAACTTGAAATTTCTAGGCTGAAATAAGTTTCTGAAGAAAAACAATCTCAATGTCTAGGCATTTCCTGTTTTCTAAAACATATCTGATCTTCTCTGGATGATTCTATATATTCCATGGTTTAGGCAGCCTGTTGGAGAGGTGTTTCTTCCAGAAGGTAACTTGACTAATGCTAGGCTCTCAGTCAGTCATGTGGCATGTGCAAGTTAGGTGGATTGTAGGGAAACTCACCAAGCTGCACGCACAAACACAAGAGTTTCATTGGGCCCTGGGGCTTCTGGACCATGGCAAAGCACTTGTGATCTGAGTCTTCTGAGGGGAGAGCTGGGTCATCAAGAAAAACCAGATGAGAAGAGGAATCAGAAAAAAGGTCTGGGGCAGGCAGTAGGCAGAGACCTACTGAGAGACCTGAAGGTAGGTAGCAGGGCCCTTGTCATTTAGTGGAGCATTTTGGTCAGAAGAGATTGAGACTTGGATCCTAAGCAGGATCCGATTCAGGGAAGACGATTAGATTAGGAACTTAGAGCACAGGTACAAAGTTGGAGAGAAGGCTTGTGTGCGTTGGGTTGCATGCAACATATTTAATGCATTGATGTAGAAGATCCCTGTCTATTAAAAAACTGTCATCTGCAACTAGGAAAGCCCAGAGAAGATAGTTTGGTGCTCTGTTATCTTGCCGTTCTGTATCCATTGGAAAGACAGGCCATATGTGTGTTACCTTTAGACTGAAAACCAACCATTTCCCCAGTCTCCAGCTGTGCCTTCCCTTACCAACTAGTGAGTCACGACCATCACTATCTATCTGGAAACATTAATGTTTACATTAGCTTAGTTACTCTTTGACTCATCTCCTGGCTTAGAGTTTAAACATTTCTATGACTGATACTACAATTAAAACTAACAGCATTTGATGTGAAGATTTCAGTTAAAATATATAATCAAATTGATTGTACCTTAGCAGTGCATTTAAAATTCCATTTTATATTGTTATAAGTACTATGTAAAATTTAAATGGCAAATTCCAGAAATTGTTAACTCATGAGTTTCTTATACTGTGTACCATTCTGAATACAGTGGTGAAATCTCATGATCTTTTACCATGTCTCCTAACTTAGAAATTACTCCTTCTCTAGTGTATGCGTGCTGTATATATTTGCTTGTTTACTTACTAGCTGTCTCAATGGTTGGCTTTACTCTCATGGTATCCCAATGTTTGTGTTAAACTGTCGATTATTGTGCTTCACAATGGCCTTGAGTTCTCAGTGATGCTGTCAATTTTTGGAATCAGATAACAACACCAAAGCAGAGCTGTAAATGGCTTCCTTTGAGTGAGATGTTTTCAATATAATCAGAAAGGAGGAAAAATTATATGTTGAAGTTGCTGAAACATATGACAAATTATAATATGTTTACTGAAAAATTAAACTTTGTGACAGGTATGCATATATATAAAAAAAAGCCTAGCACCATGTATAGGAATTGACACTAGGAACAGCCTTAGACTGTTTCCTCAGAAAGAATGGAAGTTTAACTGTTGATATTATTTACTATCCATAAATTCAGGCATACACAGTAGGTTGTAGACCATTTTCTCATAGAGAAGAAATGTTTAAGAAATGTTGGTACACTCTACTATTTATAAATTCAGACACCCACCCTAGGTCTAAGTCCTTGATCTCACAGACAAGAATTTAACTGAGGTTAAAAAAACATAGCTTCAGGCATCCACCACAGGCCTTACTTAGACCATGTTTCACATAGGAGAAGCCCTTCTCAGGCCTTGGACTTTGTCCTCACAGAGAAGTTGAGTTTAAATATTTATGCTTTCCTCAGCTTTGGACATCTACTATAGGCCTTAAACTTGCCCTCACAGAGCAGAGTATTTAACTTCAGATACTATTTAGCATCCACAAATTCAGGCATCCATGATAGGCCTTATTTCATTAGCATTTATTCACAGAGAAGAAGGGTTTAAATGTTCATACTATCTGTTATTTCAGGCATCTGCCATAGGCCTTATACCGTGTCCACACAGGGAAGGAGAGAAGTTCATTGTTGGTACTATCCACAGCTTCACTCATCCACACTAGGCCTTATATCATGTCCTCAGAGACAAGGAGATTTTACCTATTGGTGCAATCTGCAGCTTCAGTAATGCAACATAGACTTTGAAAGATGTCCTCAAAGTGAAGGAGAGATTAACTATTGATATTATCCAGAGATTATTCAAGTATCCATCATAGACCTTAGACCCAGTATAGCACAACTGTTGGTTAACTCTTAGTCCTATCCACAACTTCATGCCTCTACCCTAGGACTAGGACCATGTTCTCACAGAGAAGGAAAGTCTAACTGCTGATACTGTCCACAGCTTTAGGCATGCACTGTGGCTTTAGACTATGTCCTAACATATCATGAAACTTGTAGACAGATGGGTAGAACTAGAAAAAAAATCATCCTGAGTGAGGTAACCCAGACCTATAAAGACAAGTGTGATATGTACTTACGTATAAGTAGATATTAACTGTAAAGAACAATCATTCTACAATCCACAGATCCAGAGAAGCTAAGTAACAAGGAATGCTCAGAGGGGATGCATGGATCTCCTTGGGAAGGGGAAATTGAATAGATATTGTGGGTGGGCTGGAGGCTAGCGGGGATGGGAAGAGAAGGGGTCAGTCGGGGAAAGGATGGAGGGAGAGAATACTGGAGAAGACAACTAGAATTGGGGGCAAGTAGAAAGCTAGTACAATGGAAACTCCAGGTGTCTATTAGAGTGACCTAGTAATGGGAGATATGGAGCCTGTACCAACTGTCTCCTATAAAAAGGCAAGACTTGTACTGTAGGGATTGAAACACCGACCTAGCCTCAAAACCTTTGGCCTACAGTTTGTCTTGCCAACATGATGTGCTCTGGTGAAGGTGTCACAGAAATTTTGGAAGTGGCTAACCAATAACTGGTCCAGGTTGAAATTCATACCAAACATTGGATGGCTCTGGAGACCTAGGAGACAACCAAACATGCCTAGCAATAAATAAATAAATAAATAAATATAAATAAATAAATAAATCTCTAATGATATTCTGCTATATATGTAGACAGGAGCCTGCATTAACCACTGTTGGAGAGCTCCACTCAGCAACTCATGGAAACAGATGCAGAGATCACAGCCAAATGTTAGACAGAATTGAATGATTCCTGTGAAAGAAGGAAGGGGGCTTGTAGGAGGGTACTTTAGAGATCAAGGGCACCACAAGAAAATCTATGAAATCAACAAACCTGGGAATATAGAGGCTCACTGATAATCAGGAAGCCAGAATGGGTCTAACTTAGGCCCTCTGCATATATATTACAGTGATATAGCTTGGTGTACTGGCTGGATTTGTGTATAAACTTAACATAAGCTGGAGATATCATAGAGAAAGGAGCCTCCCTTGAGGAAATGGCTCCATAAGATCCAGCTGCAAAGCATTTTCTCAATTAATGATCAAGGGGGTAGGAGGGCCCATTGTGGGTGGTGCCATCCATCACAGACCTTTGACAATGTCATCACAGAGAAGGAGAGTTTAAAATTTGATACTATCTAAGGCTTCATGCACTTCCCATAGACCTTAGACTATGTCTTTACAGAGAAGGGGTGTTTATTTGTTGATAATACCCACAGCTTCAGGCATCTACAATGGACCTTAAACCATAACCCCACAGAGAAGGAGATTATAACTCATGATACTATCCACAGTTTCATGTCTCTATCATAGGGTTAGGACCATGTCTCCATGTAGAAGGAAAGTTTAGATGTGGAAAATACCCACAGCTTCAGGTATCCACCACTAGGCCTTAGACCATGCAGTCACGGAGAAGTAGAGCTTACCTGTTGATACCAACTACAACTTCAGGGATCTACTCTAGACCTCAGATTGTGTTCTCACTGAGAAAAAGAGTTTAAGTGTTCATCTCTGCAGCTTCCAGCATCCACCACAGGCGTCAGGTAGTATGTCCTCAAAGAGAAGGTATGCTTAATTGTTGATGCTAGTCATGTTTTTTAGAGTCTACTGTAGGCCTTTGACCATGTCCTCATAGAGATTCAGAGTTTAACTCTTGACACTATCCAGAGCTTCAGGTGTCCACCATAAGTCTTAATCCACATCCTCATCAATAAGGAGAGTTTTACTATTGATACCATTGCTAGTTTCAGACATCTATCTTGGGTCTTGGACCGTGTCCTCACAGAGAAGGGGTTTAACTGCTGATGCTATCCACAGTTTCAGAAATTCATCATAGGCCTGAAAACATTTCTTCATAGAAGTGAGTGTAACTGTTGATACTATACACAGCTTCTGACATCCACCATAGGTCTTAGACCATGTCCTCACAAATAAGGAGAGTTTAATTTTTTTAATTATTGTTTTTATCAACATTGAGTTAATTTATTCAACATACAATTTTTATTGGATATTTTATTTACATTTCAGATGTTATCCTCTTTCCTCATTCCCTCCCCCACCCAGAAATCCCCATCCCATCTCCCTTCCTCCTGCTATGAGGATGTTCCCCCACCCACCCACACACTCCCACCTCCCCAACCTCAAATTCCCCCACACTGGGGCACCCAGTCTTCACAGGACTAAGGACCTCCTCACCCACCTATGCTCAACAATGCCATCCTCCCCTACATATACAGCTGGAGCTATGGGTCCCTCCTTATGTGCTCCCAGGCTGGTGGTTCTAACCCTGGGAGCTCTGGTTTGTTGGTATTGTTGCTCTCCCCATGGGGCCAAAACCCTTTCAGCTCCTT